TTTTTATTCGATCTAAGATTATTGTCACAACACGCCTAAAGTCCATTCTTCTAACAGGACTAGAGCAGTTTGTTGTCACGTTGAGAACACCAACATTGTTTGATTTGAGAACAATTACAATGAATAATGACTCTGATCAGCGTTTTTATTTCATTTCATTTCATTCATTTCATTTTATTATACCCCTCAGGGCCAGAGGCATTACAGAGGGGGAGTGGTAAAAGCACAAAAAGGTAACAAAATAAAAGGAACAAAATATGCAAGTACAATAGAGACGCACTATAAGTTAGAAAGAGCCTGAGTATACAATATTAGCTACAGAATTGCGAAAATGTTTACAGTTATTAATGTTTACAATGTCAGCGGGAAGGCCATTCCAATCGCGAGAGGTTCGTGGTAGAAATGATTGATAAAAGTACTCAGTATTACATGAAGCGAATCCAACTTTGTGACGATGATCAGTGCGATGGGATACATAAGATGGTTGAGGGATGAGTCGATCGCGCAGATCAGGATGATGATACATTTTATGAAACAAGGCAATGCGTGACACTTTTCTGCGCAGTGATAATGATGGGAGGGAAAGGTCTGATTTCATAGAAGTTATGCTGGCGGTGCGACTGTAATTAGCGCGAATGAAACGTACAGAGTTGTTCTGAACCATCTCTAGAGCAGTAATTAAGTTGATATGGGTGGGATCCCACACCGATGTGGCATACTCTAATTTCGATCGGATTAGTGTTTTATAGAGCAGGAGTTTCAAGGAGGAAGGAACGTGATAAAATTTCGACGAAGATAGCCTAACATGCGGTTAGCTTTGTTAATTAAGTGCTCGATATGAGCAGACCAGTTTAGGTTTGCAGTAATGTAAACACCGAGGTATTTATATGAAGTTACTGATTCTAAATGAATGTTATCAATGTGGTATGGTGGTGGACGGGAAGTTTTTCTGGAAACACGCATGACTTTACATTTATTAATATTTAGTTGCATTAGCCATTCACTGCACCAGTCTGCGATTGCGCCAAGATCAGACTGAAGTGAGGCAACATCGTTAGAGTTCGTTATCTCTCTAAAAACAACACAGTCATCCGCGAATAGGAGAATATTAGAGTTAACAACGGAAGGAAGATCATTAATATAAATTAGGAATAATAAAGGCCCAAGGACTGAACCTTGAGGAACTCCCGAATAGACATCTGTAAACTCTGAGTTAAAGCCATTAAAAGAAACAAATTGTGAGCGGTTTAAAAGGAAGCACTCAATTCATTTCAGTAAATTAATACCAATATTAAGCGTGTTTAGTTTAAGCAGTAGCAATTTATGACAAACCTTGTCGAATGCCTTAGAAAAATCTAAAAATATTCAGTCAATGATCGATGATCGATCTAGTACTTGATGTAGCGCATGAGTAAAGGTTATTAGCTGAGTTTCACATGAGTAATGTTTTCTAAAACCGTGTTGTGCTGAACAGAAAAAAGAGTTGGATTCTAGAAAACCGACAAGGTTAGTGAAAATAATATGCTCAAACATTTTACAACATGTGCTGGTTAAGGAAATGGGGCGATAGTTAAGTGGAGATGTCTTGCTTCCAGACTTGTGAATTGGAATGACCTTCCCAATTTTCCACTCATTTGGAAGAATGGACTGATCAAGAGACTGTTGAAAAAGTTTAGTTAAGATTAACGCAGCGTAGGCCGAAGTGTTTTTCAAGAACTTGTTACTAATATTATCACAGCCGGGAGCTGAATGAAGGCTAAGTCCACCAATGAGCTCAAGAACACCAAGTGTACTGATTAGTATAGGTGGCATACTTTCAAAGGTATGGCTGTTTGTTGTGGGGTTATTAACAGCAGAATGGGCAGAAAAGTTCTCAGCAAATGTACGGTTAAAAACTGAGGCACAAATATCAGATGAAATGGGGTCGCCAGAGGAATCGGTCAGTGTGATAGCGTCATCGGTTGAGGGATTAAAAGTTCGCCAGAATTTTTTAACATTTGTGGTTAACATGGAAGGTAGTACATGGGAATGAAAATGTTTTTTTGCATCGCGAAGGGCTTGAATGTACAACGTAGACGCTGTTGCATATAAAGCCCAACGTTCATTAGAAGGCGAAAGTTTTGCGGCGCGAAAGAAACGCTTTTTCCTGTTTGACAAACGCCGGATATGGCTGTTGTACCAGGGTGCATTTGAGTTGTTGGTTACACTGCGGTGTGGGATGTACTGTTCAGTGAGTTGAATTATTTTATCTGAAAACATATTCCAATTAGTTTGTACACTGCGATCGTCAAAACCGTCAAGAAAAAGATCAGTGAAGGTAGAAAGGTCATTGTTGATTGCCTCAAAGTCACCTCTGTTATAGTCACGAATGATTTTCTTCTTTTTCTTTGTTTTCGGGTGGGCTAAGTTAATGGAAAAATGTAGAAGCAAATGATCGCTAAGACCCGGAAGGTACGTTATGGGCGATATTATATCGGAACTGTTTGTTAGAATTAAGTCTAATGTGTTTGCAGCGTGAGCTACTATTCTGGTTGCTTGTGTACACATTTGCTGTAAGGAAAATACCCAGCAAACGTCTAAAAATTCGCGAGCTTGGGACGAAAGCGGAAATATTAAAGGGGAATGGGAATTCCAGGTTATGTTGGGAAAATTGAAATCACCCAGCAAGAGCAACGGCGATGTAGGGAAACGCGTACTAACAGCGTTTATGGCATCTTGAAGTTCGCTACTGAATGTAGGCGAGGGTGAGGGTGGGCGGTAGCATACCCCGATGACTACATTCTGGTGACTAAGCGTTACCACAGCCCATATCATTTCTAGATTAGTATGAACGTGTACAGATGATGATGGGATATCGCTGGAAATAGCCAGAAGTACGCCACCGCCTCTCTGTGTGCCACGGTCGCGACGAAAAAGTGAGAAGCGATGAGCGTTTAAAAATATCTCGGAGTCGCACACTTGCCCGCAGAGCCAAGTTTCAGTTAACGCGATAATTTTAGCGGAGCATGTGTCGATTGCTGATGATAGAGAGTTATACTTGTTAAGAACACTTCTGATATTAGTAAACAGGACCGATATGGAAGCTACAGTCACATGACCACTGCCCCTCGCGCTTTCCTAGGGCTTGGAAGTTGCAGGCGGGGCAATGGTTTGTGTACTACGATTTGGAATGTTGATGATTGCATCACTGTTTGGGTCGTACATGTAGCATTTTTGGTTCAGAAGCAGCTTGTTGTAGCTGAGTTTATGCTTGACGGGGCCTGGTTGACTCTTGGCAAAATCAAGTAGTTTTTTCCGAGCTGCACGTGTAGTGGGTGAAAAATCCTCTGCTACAGTGATGTTATGTTTCTTTAGGTGTATATGTGTCGCAAGTAACGCATCTTTTGTTTTATAGGATAGGCATTAAACTATGATTGGGCGACATTTGCCCTGGCTGAAGGTACCCAAGCGATGCGCGCGTTCAATGGCATCAGAGGAAAGGGGAGAAGAAAGGTGGCAATTGAGAGTGGAAATAACTTTTTCCTCTGTCATTGCCCAGGTCTCTTCAGAATCTGGGATGCCGTAGAAAATGAGGTTGTTGCGTCGCAGTCTGTCATCGTGATCCTGCACGCGTGTTTGCAATGAGCATACCTGAGCGGAAAGCTGATCTGTCTGAGTATGGATGCTACTAACTTCCTGGGTAAGTTCTTCTAGTTTTTTATAATTTTCCTCCAGTACTTCAAGCCGGTTCTGAATAGCAGTGATCTTGGTTCGATGGATTTCTGTCCAGATTTAATTGCTTTAACATCAGCTGCTAATTCGGTCTGTACCTTCGACTTTCCAGTGAGCGGGTGTGAACATCTTGAGCATTTGGAAAATGACCCTCATCTGTTTCCGCGGGATCTGCGGGTAAGGAGTGCTATGTCACCGAGCGTGTCCGAACGCTTGGTAGGGGGCCCGGGGGTTGCTCTCAACATCGCCAGCGCGTAGAAGCAAAAAAGGTATGAAAAAACATTCACAAAACACTTCACACAACACCCGTGGACACGGGACCAGTAATTAAGCAGAGGTTGTTATTTTTCTTTGCATATAAAGAAACGTTTGCACACACCTGCATTGCAAAAGGGAAGCGATTCAGTGCTTGTACAGAGCACCGATCCCGTGTCCACTGAATTGGGTTTGGGCTGGCGCTGGCTTCTTAAACACTTGGTTTGAATTTGATGCTGCTGTCGTATCCGGGGGGTTGCTTTGAAGACGATTCATCAGAATAGGCAGGGTAGGCATGGGCGCGAAATCACGAGGCGAAAAGATCACCACGTCAGACGCGCCGACGCCTAGATGTTCCAGCGTCGAGGGTAATGAAGGAGCGCATAACACGCCTAAGGATGCACTTGATAAGAAGGGCACGAGGAATGCCAGCTGAACCTGCATTGCAAAAGGGAAGCGATTCAGTGCTTGTACAGAAGCACCGATCCCGTGTCCACTCTGTTCCAGCGTCGAGGGTAATGAAGGAGCGCATAACACGCCTAAGGATGCACTTGATAAGAAGGGCACGAGGAATGCCAGCTGAACCTGCATTGAGCGCTACATCTCAGGTGACTGTTGTGTTTAGCTTTAGTTTCTCAGGAAATGCGTATATTTTTCCTAAAATGCCGCTAAGTGTCCTTTTCTCACAATCAAAAGACGTTTGAGGCAAACTTCTGTATATACGTAGATATGACACCGATCTCAATTTTCCCAACTGATCAGGTCAAGGAACAGAGATGGAAAGGCGCGCTCTACAAAGAGTGCATATCCCGTTGATCAATATTTGTTATTCCCAGCGTTTTAACTTTGGATAGACCAGTTTATCAGTGCACCTAACTATTTCATTCATCTGAACTTTTGTGAACCTCCACGGCTGAAAGTGTAATGAACATGGCTGAAGCACTCTCTGTGAGTTTAATGATCTATTGAAGAAATTCAGCAAGATATTGTTTTGCGGAGCAAACTGCATTATCGTGCACTAACTAATCATTCACTGATGTGTGCCTTCGAGAAAAGAGGGCGCCATCTGAAGGACTACCAAAACGTAAGTGGCTACGGCGCCGGCTGTGGTGACGAGTGCTGCGCGATTGAGCTCGTAGAAATTCCACGCCGTCAGGGACACGTTCCTGGTCTGCATCTGCGACATCAGCAGGAAGGCTTGCTCCAGGAATTCCTGGTTCGGGACTGACGCCGTCATACAATGCGCAGCGGCCAGGCGGTTGACTTGGGGCAACGAGTCGTCATGCGCTTCGCACACAGCGGCTGCTGAGAAGGAGACCACCACGAAACACACCAGCATGTACAGCATGTCCAGCATGAACTGAATGGTAGCAATCACATCCTCGTGTGGGTTGAACTGCATCATATGGGTCACCTGCTGGGGCAAAGACAATCCATCATCAAGAATCGCAGCTGCATCTGTCAAAACAAAGCGTGGAGGACGGGCCAAACAGATTTCATTGCATGGGGGCACATATGTACGTACAGGTCGGTCCGCAGTTAGAGGAAACAGACGAGCGCGTGGCCTGCACTCTGTGGCAGCTGGATACAGCACCATCAATCAAGAGTTAAACAAAGCACGTGCGCTTTCGGCCCCATCTATTGTTAAACACAATAACGAGTCATGGCCGTTAGGCGAGTGCTGCTAGAATACGCTCCCTCTCCGCTCGCACAAAGGGCGATATCTGCAGTGTCTACTGCCAAGAAATTTGACCTGGTGCCCCAGCATTGTGCAAGCTGCAGGCATCGCCTAATACCGCTAGTTGAGTGAGCGGTGAGAGAATGTAATCTAGCAGCGCTTGTCAGCAAGTCATGAATCGTTATCTTGCCTGGCAACGGATGGCGCCAAAAGTGAACGTGTTTTTCTTAACACGTTGGCTGATGGTGCTGTAGGCAGCCGCCCCAGAGCGCAGGCCACGCGCTCGCGTGTTCGCTTTAACAGTGGACCAACCGGTACATCGACAAAAACGTGCAAAGACAGCGGAGTAGAAATTCATCGCCAGTATGCAAAACACTCGAAGCGACGTAGCGGGAACTAGGCCACAGTCACCACCAATGAGCGAGCAGCGAAAAACGGGTGCAGCCTTGTGGGATTTTGCAGCAATGACACGTCTTAAGCTTACTCGCCCGTTTTTAGTGATCCAGTCAACCACCGTTGCTTTCAGGCGCCACCATGGTCGTCTTCGCGGGAAGCGCTACTGCAGCAGCGCACGAAGCTGGGCGAGTTGGTTTAGGCTTCATGACGAAAAAACCAGCGCTGAAGATGACACGCAAAAGAAGTTGAAAACAGGACAAGCGCTTATCTAGCAACTGACATCTTTGTTAGAAAAACGGAGAAGGAATACATTCAGTAACGTGGCGTGCGTATCTTCCAAAGTACACATAGTTGTCACACTTTTTCGAGTAAACTTCTTTCAGAGTCATGTAGAAAGATGGATGGGATGGAGATGCAACGATCATGGTTTTTGTTGATGTGGAACGCTTCTATGATTTTACATGACCTTTTATCCAGGTGTTTGAAGATGACATGCGTATAATGGAACAAAGGTGTACAACCACAGGTGCGACAATAGGAAGACAAATGTGAAGGCAGTGGCCCTTAAATGTACTGCATTGTTCGCGGATCTTTTCGTTAAGGCATGCGCCTCTCAGACCAATATACGATTTCGCACATGACAACGGTATATTATATACGACATCAATTACATATGTGGCAAACAGATTGCGATGCTTGACTGAACGCACCTTTTACGAGATCTACATGACCACGTTCTATCTACAGCGGCGCAATCTGTTGCAACCATCAATTACATATGCGGCAAACAGATTGCGATGCTTGACTGAACGCACCTTTTACGAGATCTACATGTCCACGTTCTATCTACAGCGGCGCAATCTGTTGCAACCTTGCCATGGTCAGAGATCACTGCATGAACGTCAAAGCCTTTTGTATTTTTTTCAGCCAGTGTGATAAGATATAAGCCATGAACCTGTTAAATGACTGTGAATTTCTTTGACCTATTGATGGGTTGCTGGGTTGCCCAGGCTGTGCAGCAGACAGATTGAAATATTTTAGCAACGCGAGAGAAACGCAACACGAGGTTGAACCCGGAAAGCCCTCTTTTCTTGAGCGAGCTAACTGCTCCTCAAAGCTGGCTTAGACTGTAATCATTCTTTTGTATAGTGCAGACATGAGTATCTGTTCCGGCTAAGCCAGCAGTAGAGATGACATATGAGTAGTCAAGCCTGAAATTGAACTTCTTATATAGGAATCACTGTTTAAACGGCGTTACGTGCCATTTTGGCTACGAAACTAGTGTGTCATTGCCTAATATTCCCGATAAAAATATGTCTATTAGCAGATCACCGCACTGGAGAAGTGGTTATGAAGCTCGGCTTTTCAACCAGACGTCCCGGGTTGGATTCCAGCTTGGGCGGTCGAATTTTGATGGCGGCGAAATGCTAGTGGGCCGTGAATTGTGCATTAAGGAGCTTTAGAATGGTGCACTGAGAGCACTTGCAGTGTGGTCGCTACCACTGCGCATGCGTCGTAACGCGAGTCGGCGTTCGCGTTCATGGCCCGCGCGCAGTAAATCCGAAATAGCGTGTGGCAATCACGGCCCACATGTGGCCCGCAAACGCTGAATTTGAGGCTGCAGTGTCGCTGCCATCATCCGTTGAGGTTTCCCAGCAGGGCAAACTAATTCTAAAACTCATATGGCACCCGCTACGCCCGCAGCTTCCGCAGCGGTTGTAAACGGTATTCTGAATCTCCCTAATATCAGTGCACGTTAAAGAACACCAGATGGTCAAAACTTCCGGAGTGCTCCACTACGGCGTCTATCAAAATCATCTCGCGGTTTTGGAACATAAAAACTCAGATAATATTATGGGGATCAGGAAAGCAGAGTAGACTAAAGAAAACAAAAAAACGGGCTCAAATAGTGTTGTTTCCCTCACAAAATAGTTCTGAAATCTTGCATGCCTCTCGATTGTATTAACGACGTGTTCTCAACACTTTCAATCAAGAATGGCAAGAGTGCTGTCAAAGTGCGACATCTTTAGGGGCGAAGCTCCTTAGAGCGGTACGCATTCGCCCCTTGTCGTAGTACGTAACATGTCTTACGCTTTGACCTGCAAGGTGGTGCCGGTGGGAGATTTCTCCTGTGCGTTGCTGAACAATAAAAAAATTCGCAGCGTGCGCGTCACCTAAAATCCGAATTCTCCTGTCTCTTATTCCCCATTAGGAGCCATTGGCATGTACATTGAGCACTATCTGACAAGAAAGGGTTGCTACGTTATGCTCGCTGGGCGTAACCTCCTTGGTTTTAGAAAGGTATAGCGAGCGTTGGGCCGCAGCGCCATGAATACAGTGAATTAGTATATACCATGAACTTGAGGTGGTTAAAGGTAGGAAGTAGACCCGAAGCGCAAGCTGTTAGAAAGTGTGCGTGTGCCATCTCTCGTTTAGTCCTTGGAATGTCCGCTGGATGGCGGTGCTTCTATATGCGGACTACATGATGAAAAGTTGCTAGATGGTGGAACTTGGAATGTTTATTAGATGGACGAACGCACACATAGACAGATGCATGGATGGACGCACGGATGGCTTCACGGATGGATGGATGGACGCAGGGGCAGATGCGTGTACGAACGCAGGGACGAACGCACGGATGTACGCGCGGACGCATGAACAGACGCACACACAGATAAGCGGATGAACGCCCGAACGGTTACACAGATGGACGCATGGACGGACGGAAGTAAGAACGAATGGGTCTACGGATGCTTCTCCCCACTCTCTATTATTCACCCCGTGGATATGCTGCCATTTTTTAAAGAAAAGTAACGAGCGCCGAGAATTCAAGGAACGGAACGCTAGCCAGCAGCAAAAAAGCCGATGTAAGATATATCTGTCGTTACTATGGCAGCTACGTTCAGCCACAATTTGTCGCGTTTCCGCTTCTGATTGCCTACCGTTTCGCCGTCTGTTCAGGTATGAACACACTGGTGGGAAGCATGCTACGGCGGCGTCCCACTCGTCTGTGCCTCCGCTCGGCAGCCGGCGGCACGCTGTTCACATTGGCGATGCCGCGAGAAAAGCAAGACAAGAATGAACATGTCGAGACGCGCGCACCTATCTGCTAGCTGCCGGCTCGCGGCTTGTCTTCTCGCTCGCTGAATTCCGTGCCGGCCAGTTGTGCCATCGCGATCTCCGATGACAGCGCAGCTCTGGCCGACTGGGTTGGTCGTACGCCACCTCCTGCAGCCGGTCCCCTACGACGACGTCAGCGCAGATCTGGCCGACTGGATTAGCCATACGCCATCTCCTGTCGCCGACAAGGGCTCTCGCAATTGGTTCTCCGTCTTTGGACTCCTGTGACCGTATTTCCATCTTTCCTATCTCTCATCGCTCGGTGTCCTAGCGCATCTCTCTTTCTCTCTATACCTTCAATCCTATCCTTTTAATACCTCCTGACCTCCATTCCTTGTGAGCTACAGTTGAGGTGTCGCACGCTGGTGCAGACAGTTACGGGTCTCAATTTTTCCTTCGTTTTCCTCTTGTATCTAGAATGTGTGGCTTGTCTTCTGCGCGACAGACGGAAAGAGAAAAAGGCGTGGCTGAGGAGGCACCGTCTATATTAGAAGGAAGGGAGGAAAAGCAGGCGCCCATTGGTAGTTTGCTTGCGTGGGAGCCGATGGCAGCGACGAAAATAGCCCAGCGAGCGTTTCGGTCGGCGGAAGAAATTCCACGAGGTTCGGCGAAAGAAAGAGAAAAGCGGCGTCTCACGAGGGGTGCGCAGGAGAGCGCAGCACTGCCAGTGTGTTTGTAAGGTACGACCACACTAGCGGCGCCGCGCTCTGCCGCGCGCCGCGTGCCGCTCGCGAGACGTCGCTTTTTTCTCTTTCTCCCGCCGAGCGTCGAGGAATTTCTGCCGCCGACCCAATCGCTCCTTGCGCTATTTCTGCCGCTGCCGCCCAAGCAAAGCACCAATCAGCTACGTGCGTGGTAGTCGCCATAGCAACGCACGGAGCTTGTTTTCTTTTTTTTTTCGGCTGTCATTTTTCTCACGCCGTCGTTTTTTGAAGCACGTAGCATGGACACCGAACGCTTTTTAGAGGAGATTAGACTCTACCCCTTTTTATACGACAAAACGATACCCGATTACAAAGATAAGGAAGCAAAAATGAACAGACGGGATCGTATAGGATCTATGTTTGGATTGACACGTAAGTGGCGATTGCGTGGCTCATTGCATGTTGAGCGCGAATGAATTGTATGTTTTATTCACTCACTTGGGCACGAACACAGGCCATGCCGAAGTTGAAAAATATCAGAGACAGGTGGATGAAACTCGTGTCGGGAGTCGAGGCGAACACTCGCAGCGGTGCGCCAGGCAATAATGGCAAAATTAGGTGGCGCCTGTTCTCAATTATTGACAGCATGCTGAGGCAGACACCTCACTATGCGGAAAAGTAAGTGATCAATGACGTGCGGTTTCTTATTGCAGCGCACGCAGGATACGTGTTGCATGCCTGCCGACCATCTTGACTTTGCTGAAAGACTCCTGAATACTGACTTACCCTCCGGGTCGACGTGCACGTTCCCGAGCTGTCGCTCAAAGAAAACTATTTACAGAATAAGGAAAGGTGGGCTAGTTGATAATGAATTGAATGGGGCAGCGTTAGGACGAAAACACGAACGAGAAAAGACACGAGAAGTGCTGCTAAAAACTATTTACAACTCATAGACGAGCGTTTTTTTTCGCCATTCGTGTGAATGCTGTTTATTTATTTATTTATTTAATTTATTTAATACATACTGCAGACCATGGTTAGGTCCAAGCAGGGGGGCACAAGAAGGTAAAATGCAAAAATACAAACAATACAAGCAAACAAGGCACTTATACAGGGGGTAATTCATTCCACTCTTGTATCGTACGCGGAAAAAAAGAGTACTCGAAGGTGTCAGTAGCAGCAAAATATGGGGCGAAAGCATTCGGGTTGTGGTGCCTAGTAGGTCTTGTTTGTAACGGTGACAAAAACGGAGATGGGTCAATGGACAGTGCACCTTTACTTAGTGAAGAAAGGAAATCAAGACGGAAGCACTTTCTCCTGGATTCAAGGCTGGGGATTTTGTTAGCAAGCATTATTTGTGAGGGAGAATCAGTACGTCAGTATTTAGAGTAAATAAACCTTACAGCTTTTCTCTGAATTCTTTCTATTTTACGGATGTTGTGATTAGTGTAGGGGTCCCAGACTATACAGGCATATTCGAGCTTAGGTCTAATAAAAGCAAAGTAGCTGAGGAGCTTTACGTTAGAAGGGAACTTTCTGAGTTTGTGTTTTAAGAAGCATAGCTTACGAAAGGCAGATGAGCAAATATTGTCAATGTGTAAATTCCACGAGAGATTGCTGGTTAGTGTGACACCGAGGTATTTATGACTGGTGACTTGTTTCAATGGCGATGTTCCTAGTGTGTATTGATAGTCATACGGGACTTTCTTTCGTGTTATGCGAAAATAAAGTGTTTTGTCGGCGTTCAGCACCATTCCCCAGTTCTTGCGCCATTCAAGTATATTAGTAAGATTGGTATTAGGTTCACACTGGTCAGCACAGCATGGAACATCTCGAAACAAGACTGCATCATCCGCGAACAACCGAATTTGCACACCAGTTGTAATTTCATTAACAATATCATTTATATACAGTATGAAAAGCAATGGACCCAGCACACTTCCCTGAGGAACTCCCGAAGTGACATCAAGATAGCCGGACCCGATTCCATCTATTATGACCAGTTGTTTGCGGTTTGTCAAGTAATTTGCAACCCATGTGACCAGAATTTCGGGAAGGCCAATATTTCGCATCTTAAGAATTAATTTGTCATGTGGTACCTTATCGAATGCTTTACTGAAGTCTAGAAATATTGCATCTATTTGACCGGTGTTGTCTAAGTTGTGTGCAAACGAATGAAATACTGTAACTAACTGTGTGACGGTGGAGTACCCTTTCCTGAACCCGTGCTGGAAACCTGTTACAATATTATGGTCGTTTAAGTATTCAAGAATGCGAGTGGCGACAATGTGTTCCATTAGTTTGCAACAAGAAGATGTTAGTAATATTGGACGGTAATTTTGAAAACATAGGCGGTCGCCTTTTTTAAAGATAGGTACAACCAGAGCTATCTTCCAGTCTTCGGGGAGCTCGCCATTGTTGGGACTCCGGGTCCTGCCGGTCTCGTTTTCGGTAGCTGGCCCCGTCGCAGGATCCATCGTCCAACAATTCAGCGAGAAAAAGGTGCCCGAACAAACGACAGAGATTTATTTACATGTGGAGAAGTGTTCAACTGATCCAAAGAGAGAAGAGAGAGAGATACAAAACGTCTTCGGCATTTTATAGCGCCGCGTTGCCGACACTGGGTGCACTGTCCGCATCGTCAGCCAATACGGTGTCCCCGGCACCTCGGCCACGAGGGAGGGGGAAACACCTCTCACAACACATGGAGTGGCAGAACCTAACACGATGTCCATATATGGTCAAGGCGCCCTAAAAAATGCCCAAACATGGTCACGAACGCACAGCAGATTCCGGAGTTCTCCCGGCGAGAGGAGGAGCCTGAATGGGGAGGTGGGGGTGGACGACACAGTCGGTCAAGAACCGGTTCTCCCCCAAACTCCTCTTGCTTGCTTCCCTAGGGCCGGTCGTAACACCATACAATAAAGAAGTACAAAATAAAACAACAAGAAATTTAGCCAGTGACTCAGCATAGCGACGAAGAAATATGTTTGGAATGCTGTCGGGACCACATGATTTTTTTGTATTAAGGTTCAAAAGCATAGATAACACACCAGAGTAAGAAATAAAGCCAATATCACTAGGACGATACACTGCGGTATGCGCCAACATACATGCGCAAGAATCAGAGAATGCACTTTGAAAGTACTGGTTAAAATGCTGAGCAATTGCCTGCGGGTCTGAAATAACAGAACCACCCACTACAATTTCCTTCACCGGCTTCTTTTTTTCAGAAATATAATTCCAAAATTTACTGGGGTCATTTTTAATAAAATTAGGCAACAATGTTTTAAAATAATAGTCTTTGGAGCCACGAACCTCACGTGCCAAAGTATTCTTTATTTCTTCTACAACGGGCGATTGTACATGTCTTTTTTTAAGCGTTTTATTCTTCGCTTAAGGTGAATTATCTTCCGGGTTACCCAAGGCGTGTGTTTATAGACTCGTTTGCGCTTGTTTGGCACAAAATTTTGTACGCAGTGTTGGCACATTTCTTTAAATTTATTCTAAAGGACGCATACGTCGTCCCCGTCAAAATCATCAAGGGAAGATTCCAAATGCTCAATTATGCATTCATCGTTAGCTTGTGAATAATCCTTGAAAGAGCATGATGAACATTTATCAGTACTGACAGACCGACCCAATGGCAGAGAGGTACAAACAAGATGATGATCTGACAAGCCTTTTTCTACTGTTACTGTACTCTCTCTAAAGTCGCGGTGAACGAATACAAGATCTAGTACAGAACTGGATGTAGCGTTGACACGAGTGGGTTCTTTAACTAATTGGATCAAGTCGTGAGTAAGCATTATATCAAACAAAATATGTATTTGTTTGTTGGATTCATAGTCTGTCTAGAACCGCTCCCAGTTGACTCCTGGGAAGTTGAAGTCACCAATCAGTATTATTTTGCTATTTTGGAACTGGAGCATGTGATCCCGTAATTTGGCAACATAATCAATTCCGGCATCCGGCGGTCTATAAAGAGAATAAAGAATGAAACTGAAGCCCCAACAAGACAATCTTAGACATGCGCACTCAAGCCCAAAAGGATTATCAACAAAGACGGCTTCTATTGATCTCTTGATCAAAACGGCAACCCCGCCCCCCCTAGATTCCCTATCTTTCCGGTATAAATTGTAACCAGGGGGGAAAGCGTGGTCGTCATTTACATCACTGCGCAACCAGGTTTCAGTGACTACCGCAATGTGACGGTCATGTTGAAGTAACAGAATTTCGAACTGTTCTGTTTTGTTATTGACACTTCGTGCATTTAAATTGATGATTCGCAGCTGTCGTTCCTTGCAAATGTTTATGTTATTTTGTGCGCCGTGTTTGTTAAAGGGTATGGTATGGTTCGTTTGGTGTTTACTCTTGCCTAGTGTGATGACCCTATTGCCAATGCATGGAGCCGTGTCATTGGGCGGCTCCTGTTCATGGCGTCGTTTTTTTTTGTAGTGGTACTCGTTCATTTTTATCGCTGTCCCAGACATAGGCTTTGTCGTTTATGTACACTTTGGTAAATGCTAATGCAACTTTCTCCTTTTTATCGCGATTCGGTTTGGCACTTTCCCACAGTTTCTTACGTACATTTCGTACTTTTTTTGAAAAATCCTTTTCAATTGAAAAATTAGTATTTTTCAGTTTATGACCGTTCTTTAGTATACTGATCTTATCTCTCATGTCAAGCAGTTTGAAGATTACAGGTCGTGTCTTGTTTGGATCCGGCCTTCCTAACCGATGAATCCGTTCAATTGCAACCGGATTCAGTTCCAGAGTGCCCTCAATAATTTCACTGTTCACTACGTGCTCTAGCCTTTCGTTGGTCTCTCTTTCAACCTCAGGTATGCCGTAAACAATGAAATTTGATCTCCTGCTGTAGTTTTTTAATTCATCAATTCTATTGATTTGAGCACTCATAGAGGCCACTTGTTCCTGGTACGCCTCGACCTTTTGTTCCAGTCGCGTGAGGGTATCCATTTTGCTTTCTATGTTGACCAATCGGTCTCTTTTATTTCCTAATATCGCTAGCAATTGCTTCTAGCTGCTTACAAATTTGCGTCAATTCCGGGCCAGGATTTGTTTCAATATCTCCACCGAGTAGTAACAACAATTTCTTTAGTACAGACGTGGTGGTACACATCATGACACACAATTGTGGGCACGGCAGCACAAGCAAAAAAGGGTCCGCATACTGCCAGTGCCGCCGTGCCCACTGAGCTTGAGGAACGGAGGTAGCTTATATGTTGTCCAGATGCACGATGGCACCGCCTGCAGGCTGACATCCTCCGCTGTAAGCAACGACGTAGACGATCCGTGAGATAGTCCATCCAACGACGTTGGTAGCGGCAGGCAAGACACGTGCTGTCTTGAATGGTGGTCATGCGCAGATAAGCCTCCGACAAACGATCCCGGGTGACTGGCATTCGCACCCCCGAACAAGCCGAGAAGCTGCGTAAAAAAGATCAGAGGATTGTAAGACCACCGCATACTGCCAGTGCCGCCGTGCCCACTGAGCTTGAGGAACGGAGGTAGCTTATATGTAGTCCAGATGCACGATGGCGCCGCCTGCAGGCTGACATCCTCCGCTGTAAGCAACGATGTAGACGATCCGTGAGATAGTCCATCCAACGACGTTGGTAGCGGCA